CCATCATTCCCACATGCACATGGATTTGAGGTATAAATAAGATGGAAAGGCAGAGATGATCAAGAACAAAACAAGGGATCAGCTATTGGGAATACCCACTCCTACTACTGTGAATGGTAGGAAAATTGTAGAAAGCACTGGTGGAAATGAAACTTCTGGTGCTTTCCCACAAGGACTGGGAGCTATCACATCTGACTGCAATACCATACCCAACTATGCTGATTTTAGCACTAGAAGCATGTCAGAGAGTAGGAGGTTGCCAAACTGAACATGGTTCATGTGACACAGGTCTTCCTCACAGGTCTCTGGGCCAAAGAGAATCAATCATTCCTGTTACCCAGAGGCGCACACAAGCCAGAAATGCAGCTTTCTATCATGAGCCTACCTCTGAGAGACTCTCAGGAGAAGACACAAAAAAAAGCATATCCTTTAAATATCAGTTTGAAAGCAGACTGCAGACATTCCAGTTTCCAGATTATTTCAGAGAGGTTCTGGGAACATTTGTGGAATAAATCAGTTACCTATCTCACTCTCTCTAGGGTTTTCTCAGCAACACAAGGAGGACAATTCACTACCCTAGATTTTTACATGGGAATTAAAAAACTGCTAACTCCAACAGTAAAGGCTTCTAAATTACTGCTTGGGCTGACACAGACAACCACCCAGTATAAATCCCAAGGAATAAGAAGTATAGCTACAAACCAACGCCTCATCTTCTCAGGCATATGCTATCTGCTTCTAGTTTCATCAGAGAACTGCAGCAGGAGACAACAATGTACTGTCTCATAGCAGCTGTTTTAAGCTCATCATCCCCAGCTAGTAATAATCAGTATTTTAACAGTTTGTATTAATACATTCAGTGTATCTAGCTCTAGCGATAGTGTTGTTAGAGCTCTCAGTGCTGTTTTCTCATGCAGCTTTTCCATTTATCCCTGGCTTATCCCCAGCAATGTCTCTCACAGCCAGTGCAGTATGCATAAGCTCTGTGCTTTTCCAGCTAGGAAGTCCATTTGGGTAAATGCATTACGCAAACAAACTCATTACAAGATTAAGCATAAAGAGCTCTCATCTCTATAATTATAGTAAAACCATTTGAAGAAAAAAAAAACCCACCAACACTAAAGACCAAATAGCACCCAGAGGCACTGACCATTCCTCTGAGAGAATGGGAGACATTTGTATCTAGCTGTTCAATTTGTTTCCAAGAAAAGAAAAACACTATGAGTGTCAAAATACTCCACTGCGTGAGACTGACATAACAATGATCTCACACCATGGAGCTTACAAACTGTTGATAAAATCTGCTCATATTAATGCATTAAATTAACTTTAGCAACTATCATATCTCACACTACTTGGCAGAGGTTGAGTTTAACTTGGTGTAAAATTACATGATTTATAAGTTTAAGTTTAAAATACTGCACTAAAATGATAGTCATACAAAATTCTGACCAAAATGCTTGACAAAAATTAAAAATAGGATGCCTCAATATTACAGGTGTATATGGAAAAGACTTTCTGAATATAGAGATACTTCTTCAATTCAATCACCACTCAGATCAAAGCATTTAAGGTTTAATTTAGCTCCATATGGCTTAGTAATGAAAAACTGATACCTTTAGCAGAGTTATCCCCAAATTGTCACATCTGAGAAATCAGCTGGGTAGCGTAACAGTGACAGATTGTTTTTATAAACTGAAGGGAACCTTACTGTACTAGCCTTTTTATCACCCTAAGAGGAGGAAGAAAATGTTGTCTCATGCCTAAAAACTACTTAAGTTTTTGGGGGTAAAAAAGTTCCAATTGGGTGAGAATGTTGAAATCTTCAGGTCAAATAAAATCTGAATTATTAGTTTTAAAAATGTTAAGAATGACTTAAAATAAAAGCTTGTTTAATATAAATACCTTATTCAGAGCATCAAATTGGAAAGGTTCCAAAGCCACTCTACAGAGTTCTGCTGGGAAGACATCCTCCATTCCACCTCATGAATCTTCTAATGAGGTCACTAGCCAGCCTTCTTGCTCGGACTCTGCAAAGCCACTGGAGAGGGGTATATGGATATGGTGCCTTACAAACACCTTGGAGAAGCCCTATTCATGAAGAAAATGAAACCCAGTTGTAATCTTCAGCATGCATCATCTCTGTGGAGGCCAGTGCTGATCTCTCTATGCCTCAGACCTTCACGATGAAAGCATACGCAGCACCTCTCAAAAACTTATCTCAAGTCACTCTTTTGACTACCCTAGTCCACAGACCAAACCAAAGAATACACTGTCAGTGACTGTGCTCAGCCAGCTCTGAGGAGGCCAGGGAAGCAGGCATGGAAGAAGAGACTGAGGAGCTCATGGGGCTTTGCAGAGTCTGCAAGTGGTGATTTGGGCAAGAGACGACTCAGGACCAGCTGAGAGGATTTCACTCCCTGCCATGCTCCTTAGCTTGTGCCATAGTTGGGAAGTGGTCACTGCTCCCTCCCCATAGTGTCTGATGCCAATGCTGTGAAAAGAAGGGTAAAGAAGAAGGAACCATCTTCCCTCATCCCTCAGTGTGGATGGTGGCCAGGCAAAACCTGCAAGGGGAGATCAGATTGCAAAGGAATCAAATTATGGTTCAGGTACCTCAGTGAGTGAGGCACCCTGAACAAATGGTTCAGTGGCAGCACCAGGCATCAAAAAACCTCACAAAATGGTTATGTGCTTATGCCAAAGTGATGTAACTACAGTGGCATTTCAGTCAAGTATTGCAGAGTGTCCATAGTAACTGGTTGGCCTCATTCTAATGCCAGCAATTCATCCACTGACAGAAAGACCTGAGTAGCAGTCAATAGTTTGTCTATTACATCTCTTCATGTTACGATGAACTAGGGGCTGCTGAAAAGGAGGGGAAGGAGCAAAAATCTATTACACACAAACAAAACTTTGTAGAGGGGAAAATATGTATTATCTTATATTGGCAAATAATAACTAAACTTGCAAATATTCTTTTATTTATTCAGCCATGTAATTTGTCCTAAAGACTGATGGTCCACCTAGTCAGAACATGTAGATTTCAGGGAAACAAACAAAAGTCCTCAAACTGCTGCCATTATTTGGTACGTATGAAACAAAACACTGGCACAAACAGAACAAGTGTAGTGCTTCTAATTTTAGGAGGTGAGGTTATGTAATCCAGTACTGTAGCCAGGCTACACTTAATTAGCAACGGAGCATTTTTCAGTAATTATTGAGAAATTTGATCTGGTGAGAAGGAAGGTCTCTATGTTCTAGATACATATAAAAAATCTCTTACATCATCTTTCTTTCAAATGCAAAATTCTGTTATAATGATTATTTTCATCTGACATTTAAAATTCTCACTACCTAGTTAAACTGATAAAGTTGAAGAATTTGTCTGTTTTCCATACGTTTCTCTTCACATCACTACTAGTTGTACATTTAAGAATAAGTCAGTTTATATTACCCAAATACTTCAAGGAATTTTTAACTGCACTAACTTTTCAAGGACTACAGACTTTACAGCAGTATTCAAAAAAGACTCAGCACTGTTTATGAAGCCTCAGGAACACTAAGGAATGGAAGCATTCAGGATGAAAGGACTTCTTCAAAAAGGATGTTTTTAAACTATGAGAGATCAATGACATTGGCATGCTCTTGCCCCAGATGACCTAGGAACAGTTTCATTTTACCACGCCAACAAATTGACAGTGTCAATACACTGCTAAAAATGGAGGTGAGCTTTCCAGGTGATGGTACTCCTACTAACTTGTAATGAGATCTGTCCCTCAGCAAATCATAATTGAATGCTATCAAAGTGGACAAAAACATTAAACTTTCTGGTGACAACAAGTAGCATCTCTGTCAGTGCTGTATTCCTAGTTCCCTGTCACAGAAACAGCCTTGACAGTCTTTAAGTAGATTAAGTTCAAAACAGCTTCATCTCCAGAGGAAGTGGGACTAAGAGGTTTACTGCTACTATGACAACAACCAGGTTCTTAAAATAGTTTTGAAACCTTAGCAGTGTCTGGGAGTGTGTATGTCTCCCTTCAGGATTCATCGTGTACTAAATGCAGTCTTCCAAAAGGAAATCATATTTTATAACAGCCTACTATTTTTAAACATGTGCTTTTATCGTGCTCTTTAATCTCTTGTTACGAGCACTAAAAATAGCGGTACAAAAGGCACTGTGCTGCCACATGGCTGTGATTACAGTGTTAGAAGCGATTATTGCTATAGATACCAGGACAGACATTGCTCTCTCACCTCTGCTCCAACATAGCATGTATTTTGTGTTTTTCTCATCCTGACAGTAACCAAGTCCCTTACTAAAAAGAATGCACCAGGGACCAGCCATTCCACATGCTCAGTACTGCCAGACACCAGCCGTTTCTGATCTAAGAAATCACCCCCTTGACATCCACAGGTATTCCACTGCATCTCACTTGGAATTAGCTCCTTCCTCAGAGGTAACAAATGAACACAGTATCTGATCATTTGCAGTTTGTGCCTAGGGCATAATTCTGCTGATAACCTGAGGGTAACAGGATGGCCTCCATTTGAGTATGCTATTCAATCAGTAATTAGCATTTTATTGTTGAGTATGGCTAAATAAACAATTGATTCAATCAGATATGCAGCAACTGCATATTATGAATGTTTAGTTGAGCTCTGAGGCATTCTCCAAGCACATTCATGCTGACTTGTACAATAAAAATAGTAAGTAGTACAATGCTTAATTCCAATTACAGCAGCACACAGATCAAAGCACGTAACCCTTATCTGAAATTACTGAAATCAGAAAATTAATATGAACACACAAGCCAATTCACTACTCTAGTCAGTGTAGATTAAAGCATACTTTAAAACAAAGAAAAAGTCTAATCCAATTACACTGGTGCCAAGCTGAAATCATCTTCCTGCAGTAATTTTTTTTTTTTTTTTTTTTTAGGAGGACCAAATTCAGACTCAGGAAGCAATAGATTGTTTCCTAATTGTAAAAAAAGAGTTGTTAGCTCCAATCACTAAAAGGTGATTCTTTTCTCTCTTCAGTTCATGAATTTCTGACTTTTACAGGCCAGAATTTGCCCTTAAGCATATTTCAAATGCAATTTCTAGGTAATTAAAAAATACTTGGTAGTGACTACTCAGACCAAACTTAACTCTCTGTGCAAGCTAATGCTATCAGTCACATAAACTTATCTACCTATGCCTAAAAGATTACATTAAAAATATAATGGAGTAAAAAAACAAATCGGTAATTAAATTAGAAAACTGGAATCATACCTCAAACATCAGCATTGAACTTTATTAAGATAAATCCACATGTTTTGGCACTGCTATCAACTGCAGCTGCACCCTTCAAGTCCTATACTTTTAGAATTTACAGTAACTAAAGAAGCCTCTTAAAAACAATGAATTTTTTTAAAACTTCAATTTAGGGTTTATCTGTTTGCTAAAGCAATGCACTCAGCAAAGACAGCTACTGCAGCAAATTGTTCCATTTTGAGTGCTCACTCTGTTTCTTAAGGAAACAATCTACAAAGTGCAGATTTTTACTAAATACTTTTCTTCATTTTTGTTTGAAAAAATCTCAAGCTTCCTTTTCATATTTGTGATGTAACAGTTGCATTAATGATAGATTAATCACAGTTATTTGTTTTGTTCTTGTTATCATACAATGGAAATTTTACATTCATGCAGAATCATAGAATTGTTTAGGTTGTGAGCACCTCCAGAGATCCCACAACAGCAATATGTTACGTGTTTCAGCACTTGTTCACACTCCCAGTAAAAAAGTATTTTCGTATCCTGTGATTGAATTTCCTGGTAACTATTGCATCTTGTCTGTGAGTGCTAGTGAGAAAAGTCTGGCTCTCTTGTCTTCACTCCCACCCATCAGGAGCTTATATATACCAGTAAGATCTTCCCTGAGCCTTCTCTTCTCCAGACTAAATGGTTCCAGCACTCAGTCTCTCTTAACCACTTTTGTGGCCCTACGTTGGATTTCCTCCATTAAGTCTTCCTTGTAACTTAAGAGCTCGGGACTGGACACGCTACACTAGATTTGACCTAACCAGTGCTGGGCAGACAGGAAAAATCAACTCCATTGACCTGTTGACACGTCCTCACAGTGCCACCCCCAGAATACCATTAGCATCCTTTGCTGTAAAGGTGCACTGTTGGCTCATAAGGTCCCTCTCTCCAAGCTGTTTTCCAGCTGGTCACGCCCTAGCAGGTGCCCGTGTGTGAGGTTACTCCTTCTCAGATACAGGTCCTTCCACTTCCCCATGAACTCTGTGACACCCCTTTCTGACCATCTCTTCAGGTAGTTGAGAGCTCCCTAAATGGTAGTCATCTCTTCAACCAGTCATTCCTCCCAGTTTTGCATCATCTGCACATGTGCTGAGGGTACACTCCAGCATCCAGACCAACAAAAAGGGTATCTACCAGTACTGATCCTGATATTGAGCTCTGAGGTACACAACTAGTCTCCAACTGGACTTTGTACTGCTGATCACAACCTCCTGGAGCTGGATTTTCTGCCAACTTTCAGTCCATCTCACTATCCACTTCTCTAGAACATACTTTGTCTGTTTGTCTGATGCTGCTGCTCTGGGAAACAGCATCAAAAGTTGTCAAAAAAGTCAAAGTTAATTACACAAACCAATCATCCAGCAAGCTAGTTACCTCATTGCAGAAGGCAATTATTTGCCCTTTGAAGTCCAAGCTAACTAATCCCTATCAACTTCTTGCCCTTTATGTGTTTGGAAACACTTTCCAGAATGATTTCTCAATCACCTTTCCAGGGACTGAGGGGAGGCTGACTGGTCTGTAGCTCCCAAAGTATTCTTTCTCACTCTTGTTGAAGATATGAGAGATATCTGCTGTCTTTCAGTCTTCAGGAACCGTCTCCAGCTGTCAAGACAATTGAAAGACAACTGAGAATGATCTTGCGGTGACATCAGCTAGCATTCACAGTGCAACCTGTGAATAGCAACCACAGTGTGCAACCTGTCCAGTCTTCAGTAATCTGGTCCTCCTCCACCATGTTGCTCCAGGTAATCCCTCTAGTCTCACTAGCATGGAATTCTTTAAGACAAGTCTTAACAATAAATACTGAGGGAAATAGGGCACCAACATGGCTATCTCCACATCATTTGTCACAAATTCTCCAGCCCCCTTCATCCTGGTGTGTATCTCTCTTTTTCAAGTCTTTCCTTTGCTGTTAAATAGTTGGAGAATCATTTCTTGTTGCCCTTTCCACTTCTTCCCGTATTCAGCTCAATTTGCCTTGATTTTCTTAATCCTATTTCTGCAAGATCAGACAGTAATTCCGTTCTCCTCCTGGGTCATCTGCCTCTGCTTTCACCTCCTATACTCATCCTTTTTATGCCTGAGTTCAGTTATGAGTTGCTCTTCCATGCAGGCCTCTTACTGCCTGTGCTTGATTTTTCTGTATGTCAGAGTGGATCTGTCTTGTGGTCTTCCATACCAACCTTCCATGCAGAAACAAGGTATTCCCCTAAAGAAACATCTTCAACAGTAGTCAATCCACTAGGACAAATACAACTTTGTAGTGACAACTTCTCCAAAACAAAACAAAAAACACTGCTAAGGTAAAGGACCTTGTCCTATCACATCTACATGAACTCAGAACCAAAGTAACAATACAGTTCACTAAGCTTTTTATCTGAATAACCCACATATTCTTTCCTAGGTAACACTGAACTTCATTGTGAAAGGTAGTGTTTGGATATAACCTCATGTAGCTTTTATAACCTTCTATATAATTTGAGTTGCTTTTGCAACAGGTTTTGACCAACTGCTTAATTTGAAAGATAGCATTTAGAACGGAGTATTTTTATGGAAATCAGTTTTAAGAAGTTACTGTGCTTGGGAAATAAATAAGCTACTTATGTGTACTAAAGAATCTTGCTTACATTAAATAGCTACCATGTTTAGGCCTCTAACAGCATTAAATGATGGCTTTAAAATACAAGGTAAGTCAGGGTCCATGCAATTTTTATTTTAATAATTAAACAAATACAGGAAATTTTGCAGTAATCTATCAAAAATGTATCTTATTAAGAACCAGAAAGGTGTTTAAAAAACATTCACATTCAATTCAGATTATGTATAAACCAGTGTTTGTAAAAACGAAAACAGCAAATGCTTTGAGTGTAAAAGAACTCCATTCTAGTTCGTTTCAGTGTTTCCAATGACCAAATTACCACCAAGATGCAATCACAGTGCAGACATGTTCCACAGTCCATTATATTCATCTGAATAGCACAATTGCCAAAAGTAATACTTTTTCTTTTTAAATAAAGCATTTTGAGAATTTTCTTCATACAGTACCATCCACCCAATGTTTACTGTCCAGCATATTTAATTCTTCACTGCAGTAATGGCAGAACAGTTGTTACCTACAGGTCCAGAGTACATAAAAGTACAGATACATATTTACATACCCAAGAAGCACCATTCTATGCCTGAAAAAGCCAGAATCTACACTGCACATTCAGGAGATGTGCCATTTTTAGTAGAGCACAGCCCTTGAATACCTGGCTTAAAATCATAATAATTATCTGCTCCGTCAAGAACTGTTCTGAATGTGTTGCAATATATACAAGTGTGTACCTTCCAGACTCACCTAACATACATCATGGGAATTTGAGTGTCATATTAATAGCCATCCATAGACACGACAGCATCATATACCTTTGCTATAACAGTTCTTGGGGATCTCTCATCTTTTTGCTCCAGATTAAATCCTCAGTGCTAAAAAGAGAAACGAAAGTGGCTGTTTTTTAGGCAAATCTGTAACTTGCCAGTGCTATGTTTTTTCATGTATTTATTTGCAGTAGCTTTGCTGAAGAAGGAGATTAATCATTAATTTAAGCTGAAAGGGAAGAGAAAACTATCAAGACACTCAAAGTCACAGCAGTTACCAGTTAGTCTGCTTGAAGCACAAAACAGATGAATCTAGCTACTGGGGTTAAACAATAGTTCTTTCAGAACTACAGTCTAATGTGCTGTAATTACCCAACTAATTTAATAGTAGCAAACAACTCTTTCAAAAATGCAGACTAAATATCAGAATTCTTTCAGTTAAACCAATTTCAAATTAGATAGATGCATTAAGACAAAAGAGAGAAAAGTGATACAACTTTCACACTAACAACTCAAACAACTCAAATTTGAACAAACACTTTTCTTAACTGCACCCTATGGATGCAAGTTCTGAGATGATCTTTAGTTTCAAATCTCATTTGGAACACAAAGTACCATGCCTCAGCATAAGGGGACCAATCCAGAAAATTTCAAATAGTTTCTGACATTTCTTTTATGAAAATGTATGTAAGGCTCAGTAATAAGCAGTGTACTGTAACACATATATTGGAATAGGCTTGAAAATCAGATTTCCCTTCTGAATTTGAGATTCAAATGCATAAACTTGAACAACAGTTTCTGTTATTACATGTTTTACAGTCTTCAGCACTATAACATCAGACCAGCTCAGAAATTAAGAATTCAGAATAGCAGAAACAGCTCTAGGAAGAGTAAGACTGGAATTTAGTGTTCAGAGATTCCTTGCATTGAACATCTATCACTCTTCCTCAGGCTGTACATCTAAAATCCATTCAGTATATGGGAAGGCTTCTGTGTATTTCTATGGATTCTAAAGCATCTCTTAATGGAGTCAGTACTCCAATAGTATATATTTAAAATAGTAAAAACAAATAATAAGGATGACTGCTGATTTTCAGTAACAGCTCTTAACTGAGACTCAGCTCAGATATGCAAACAGATGCTAATGGTGCCAACTCTTAGCAAACCTGTTCTGTACAATAAAGCAATAGTTAGGATCCCCAATAAAATACACAAGGGAAATTTTCTTAGATATAATGCTCAGGAAAAGAACAAGTTACAATCATATAAAAAGCCTTTCCGATTCTTCCAAGTGAAAAAAAGCCTGTTTTAAGATAGGCTTAATTTCAGCAAAATATGGAACAGTGACTTAAGCTAGAAAACACAAGCAAGTTTGCCTTGAAAAGTCAATGTAAGGAATTTTCATATTGTTACTTTATTAATGCTATCCAAGATGAATCAGCACACAAATGAGATGAATAAAAGTACTTTAGACAATACGTTTTACGCTAACAATGCAGTTAGCAACTCATACTGGAAAAGACAAATGTTTCCAAAGATGATCAAAGAAAGTACATCTTTCTTGGTTTTAAAGTAGACTTATGTGTCATAGTCCTTCTTCCCTTACTTGGGCAATGGTGAGCATCTGTGGTGTTTCAGTCCTTTGAATCTATAGGCACTGACACAAAGCCCCAAGAAAAAGGGGCAAAGGAGTTTGTGTCGGGATTTTAACAGTTGTACTACCTGGCAAGGACTCCAGTATCAAGATGCAAGTTAAACAGAATGACCATCAAGAGTATTCAACTCCCTGTGCTTCCCTCAGGGGAAAAAAAAAAAAAAGACTGTCAGAGAGTTAGAGCCTACAGGGGAAAAAAAAAAGAAAGAAAAAAAATAAAATAAAAAAAATCTCATACAGATCTCATCTCCAAGCAATTATGCATGAGATGTTTCAAATGATGAACAAAATAGAGTTTAGAAGTTTGAAGGTTAGGTTCAATTCTTTCTTTTGTAAGATGTTCAAAATCTTCTATCTTCTTTTCAGTGATTTTGAGTCATCTTTCATTTGTCCAATCTTCTTTTCCATACAGGAGAGGTAATTAAATTGAAGAGTGCCACAGATTTTGTTCCTTCATAACATTAAATAGTGTTTCAAATAACTTAAGTATCCTCAGGAAAAAAATAAATTCCTTACTCAACGTTGGTCTTAGATCTTTGAATGACCAACATTCAGGTCAACAGAACTGTAAGCCATATATATATATATTTTTTTTTTAAGAGAAAAGTTTCAGTGAAACATTACAAGTGCTACTGATAGCACTTTGGCCTCTAGATCTGGTAAGCTCAACTCCATCTGGAACTGTTGTGAATGTCTACTTATTTCATGAAAATCTCAATAGAACAAACATATAACAACAACGCAGTCTATGCTGTTAGTAGCTATTTTCAACAACAGAGTTTGAAGTGATCTAGCAAAATGATTTGGAAGAGCACAAACATTAAGTCCTAAAATTGCCTTTCAGTGTAGTTTACCAACCTTTTAGAATCTTAGATCCAAATTAGGACTTTGTGAACCCTTCTGCCATATAATTCCATTCAAGTCCAAATAGCTACATAAACTGAAGAAGGGCACAGAAAGTGCACTCCATGCTTGAGAATACAAAGAAAACTTTGAATAGGCTCCAGTTCCAGTGTGGGGGGAAAAAGTTTAAATGTACTAAACCAAGCACACCTGGGCACAAAGGCTATGAAGTGGTGGAGCACTCTTAGAAAGCAACAGTATTTTCTCCCTTTGTTAAATTGCTAATAAGTTCTCTCCTTACACAAAGCAGAGTCAGAATCAGCTGTCAAAGAACCACTGCCGAAGAAGTTTGAGTTGGCTTATGGGACAAGTTCCATGTGATTTGTCAGCTTCCTCTGTCAAAAGGAAGGAAGTCCTGAGCACCCTTAATGCTTTGAAAATAATCAACCTGTGGTAGAGATCACATTGCTGGTGGAAGCATTAGCCATTTACACACAGGTGGTCCTTGCCAGAGATATGTTTATCAGATAACCTCTGATAAAATAACACCTGGTATAGACCAGCCATCAGGAAGAAACCACTTTTGCACAGGAAAATTCATGTGGTGCCCAGTGCAGCACTTGTCTCAGAAAAAAAAAAAAAACAACAACAAAAAACTGGAAGAAGTTGTAATGATTCAGGCTTAGAATCTTGAGTATTAAACTTCAGTTTCACTTGAGAACTGAGGGAAAGATGTTTCTTCTCCTCCCAGATTTGCTACAAATGCAAACATACATAAAGTATCAGCAACAAGCGTGCTAGATATAAAACTGATGGAATGCTAGCTGGTCCATAAAGGGCTGCACCAAGTTATCTGTAGCAAAGTAAAAAACTAGCCCAAAAGTAATGGAGATTGGAAGAGCTGGTAAGGCCTTCTTAAAGATGGCAAGAAGCAGAAGTGTAAGGCACAGACCCTGAGGAGAAGAAAAAAAAAGACAGGGAGAGATTAGGGAACTCTGACACACAAAATCTCACAGAAGTACAATCAAATTTCATAACTTCCTAAACTAAGAAGTCTAAGTGACAGATGTACAATCAATGCAAATCACAGCTAAACTCCTCATTAGTTAGCAGTCAAGTCATCAAATAAATTTCAACTGAAAAAAAAAAAACAACCAACAGTTATGACTTTGTCCCTGATGAGAATAAGAAACTATCACTATCATCTTGCTACATCATACTTACAATTAATATGGCTACAAAACATGCTAACGTTGTATTCCAATCCCCGCTTGCCGTTGCAGAGGCTTTGCCAACCAGGACACTGTAGAAAATGAAGTCTCCTAGACCTAGCTTTACTCCTCCTGCAAAAGTGAATATATAAGTGAATATATGGCAGAATTGAGCACGAGACAGTCTATTAGTATCAAGTATCTGTAATTGTCAGGGAATAAGACATTTACATTAAGTATCAATAAGATTTACTAAAAAGAGTTTGTTTGTTTGTTTTTTCCCCCAAAACAGTACTACTCGAATCAAGTGATAAAGAAAAACTCCAGTGAAACAAGGTGGCTGAGGAACATCATACTTAGTCAATTCATCTTGTAATGATATTTTTTCTGTATTCCTAGTCTGCTCTAAATACAATTGCAGTATATACAAACTCAGATTATCTTATTATAGTTTGTGGGATTCTTTTTCCCATTTTTGGTTGTTGTGTCATGGTTTTTCAGCAGAATGTGTTAGCATAATTAAATAAAATAAAACTGGTCACGAGAGGGGGAAAGCAACTGAGTAACCTGCAGATTGTTTTAGTTGCCAGTTAGAAATCTATGTACAGCACAATATTCTGCCTTGTCAGTTTTTCTACAGACTTCTTACTAAGGTGGTTCTACAAAGCACTTGTGTATAATTGCAGAGCATATCAAAGTCAAAAACTGGACATATTTAGTCCAAGATGACTTAATGTGTTTTATTTTTAAATTGTAATTGCCACCATAGCAACAACTCTGGAAGCACAATATTCAATTACATCTGTAAATAAAAGAATGATAATTTTCTGAGCATCATTTCAGTTTCTGAGCTTTTAGTCCAAGTTATTAAGCCAGTGAGGCCAAACATTCACCAGCTGTTTTTGCTTGGCCTATGAGTTGCTTTGTCACTGATTACAGTCCAGCACTAAACTTACTCCTCAGAGTTGTGCAAAGAACTCAGAGCACCAAAACAGAGGTTTATGTCTGTTTGATCATTTAGTGGTGGGGGGAAAAAAAAGCTACTTTCAGCAGGCACTGAAAGTCACTGAAAGCAAACACTACAACAGTGCATTCACAAAAAAAGCTGTTAAAAATTAAAACATCGTGTAACTGCTGAGACAAAACTTGGATGCTTGCTTTCAGCATATAAAAAGGAAACGGCTAGAAAAGGTTCTTCCACACAAGCAAATTCTCCAAATTTCTATTACACTCATGCTGACTAATATGTCTAATTGGATTACTGCATGTTATTATTATTCCCTGTAGAAATACAGGAAGAAGAAAATTAAGAATGTCCAGACAAGAATTTTAGATATTCAGGTAACTAACTAAAACAACACAACTCTTAAGATTTTGGAACTTGAGTTTGGAAGTTTTAGAATAAAGTACTGAAGCATTCTTAAACAGAAGCCTGTATTTTTAAACAAAGGAGCACCTGGGAATCACAGAAAGCAGGTGCACCTGCTAAATACAGCACCATCACCTGAGAAGGCACATGGGCCCTTATATTTATTCAGATATTTGGAATTATAATACTAGCTTAAATTACAACTGAAAATCAAGAGTCTGTTAAAACAGACATTTGAGTTCTCCAAAGATACTGCACTTCATCAGAGTGGTGGAGGAAATGATCAAGCCCATTGTAATCTGAATTCATTCCAGTCCGCAATTAGGTTTTTAAACACTGCTTTGTCCAGAGCAGATTATAGTTATTTAATCTTAAGGTTTAAAAAAAGTAAAGGACAGTATTTACAGGGCCTAAAATCCAAAAGAGGTGATACATGGCAGAACACTGCATGAAAGACAGAAGCTAATGCAGTGGAGTGTGCAGTGGTCTAAAAGTAACTTCATAGATTATGCTGTTGAAGTTTTAAATCTGTGTCTCGTATGGAAGAGCAGTTTGGCCAATATACCTCACGTCTGCAGCAAAAGCGTTATTTCTACAAAGCACAACAATACTGATCACAAGCAAGAAGAGCTCTTCAGCCTGCTATTAGCTCACAGCATACCGTATCTGCGCAGTCACAATGACTAAAATTAACTAGCTTCAGACTGACTAAGTCTTCCAGAGACCGTATTCCATACTCACGTTCTTCAGGGTCTTCACTGGTTTGAGAGTTACTAGGTAGAGCCTGAACAGCAGCTCGTGATTCAGGTGTTGATTCAATGGGTCCTATTCTATTGTCTCTTTGTTGCTGCCACTCCTGACTAAAGCCACCATCATCTGCTTCAGCATCTCCATTCTGAGACTGGTTTGCCGGAGCTCAAAGGAAGAAAGACATTTAAAATCTCTCTTTTTTTTTTTTTTTTTTTTAATGCATCTTATAACTCATAATGCTCTCTTCACATAAAACATCATAGAAGAGCGATGGGAAAAAAGAGATATTCCATACGATTTAACAACATCTAATATTCACACACACCATTACAAGAGACTCTCGTGATTTTAATACTTTAAACACTTTGGAGTCAACATGCACTCTGCAGATACTGCATCTACAAGTTGCATCCAAGTTCTAGTATTCAAGAGTACTCTGATGTAACAGACTGGAAGTCCTGCGGTGACCTAATTCAACAATCATAATTTAAAGAATTAACTCCAATCTAATACTAGCTCCTCTAGTTAGTAAAGAATTGAGAGTTTAATTTTCCAGTAAAATAGAAAACAGAACTGAAAATTACATACTATATATCAAACTCAGAAATTCTTCTGAGATATTTGAGTAAACAAGGTCTGTTTTTAAACACTAGTTGCATGGCATTTCTTTTTCATACCAATATAAACATGAATTAGCGTATACTAGATTAACCAATTTGACAACCAATTGAGCTTAGTAAATAGTTGCCTACTGAGAGTCATATCATCACCAATATCCTGTGTTCCAGAATAATGACTGCAGGAGCATTCATTGCATAATAAGCAAGGAATTTCTTCAGTCTTAATTATTCTTCATAAGACTTCTGCTTTTCCACTCTTCTACAATAGTCAAAATACTTAAAAATCTAAAAACCATGTATCAATAAACACATATACAATGACAACTATAAAGGCTTGTCAAAGAAAAACTCACCTTGTTTATCGTAAGTGGAGTTTTTAGAAGTTTTTCGTTGCCCTTCTGGATCTTCCTCAGCCATGTTCACTAGCCACACCATTGTTGCTGTTAAAAGCAAACAGTACAGCTAATGATATCTCGTAATGCATCCAATTCTGAGCTGGTGTTGGCATCAACCCATTATTTTTTCTATTATTTTGGTATAGCTGTCTTTTTCATCAGGCAATTTTACTCTCATTAAATCACAGTAATATCTGGAAAGCAGCCAGTACCAACTACAATATTCATTTACAGAATTTGATGAACACAAGTTTTATTCTTACTAAATGTTGAAAAAAATGGCAGCATTACTTCTATAGATGAGGTCCACTCTGAAAGTCTGAATCAATGACTGCTTTACTTTTTTCCATTAATCAGTTCTTCCAACTGCAAGTGAAAAGTTCTATAAGGACTGGTATAAAGGTAACTTGAAATCAGAAACTGCCTCTACAAAGTTAATCGTTCTGTGTTCCCCTCCACCACAGAGAATTTTCTAGTCTTGAGAGAAATAAATGCTGTTACACTTTAATGGTACATTTTATATACCAAGCATATTTTATATGCCGTTTCTCATCATTAACCTTCACTCGCACAAAAAAGACAGACATGTAACTATGATTACTACCATTAAAACATAGCAAGAGTAAGAGATAAAGAAGTCCCTCCCCCTTTGTCCACTGTATGCTCGTTCCCTAATTATCCACTGTGAAGGTTACCACACAACAGACTTCCTGCACCTTTTTTCAGCACCAAGAGAATGATTTATGATTAACCCATTTTATTATTATTATCCACATGATTCTAACTAGAAACATGCAACATAACTAATTATATGAGACAGTTTTACTCTCATTAAGTTACAGTAATACCTGGAACACAACTGGTACCAGATACAAGTTTTATTCTTGTGGATAGCAAAATTATCTGCTGACTGATACTCAGGTCATAACAGCAACTTGTGTCCCACATATTGTTTTTTCACAACTGATAGTAGAAACAATAAATAAAAAGTCAAGCCTTGCAAAAAATACTTTTGTCAATGAATTTCTGTGTCAATTTCTCTTTTCTTTTAGCAACACATAGGATATTTAAGCACATGAAGTTGATAAATACTTTCTGAAGAAGTGCTCCTTTTTAATTGCTTGATTCACAGCCCAATGACATACTACTTTGGTGTATTACTGTTTTTTTTGTTGTTTTTTTCCTGTTCCTGCTTTGTAAGAATAAAGCATGCTGTTTTTTATTCTGAAAATCTTAGCCAGAAGATGTTTCATATTTTTGAGTAAAAAGCAAAAGGAAAACTGAGACCCAGATGAACTGACTAGAAATTCCAGCTGGTAAACAATTTGTTAAAACAAATTAAAAAGAGAAAATTATTTCAGTGCGTGATTTTAAGTTTGAAGTATTTAATAAAATATAAGGGCTGCTCTGAAAGTAATACCTACTATTTTTATTATGTTGGCCTATAGCATCAGAAGCAGATGGTGACATGGCGATAGAGGTTAAACATTCCCAACAATATTTCAATACATTTTGTTGGTGTTACAGAAGGCAGCAGAGGGGCAGTCTGACCACATGGCATCTGACATGGAAGTGCATATGAAGCAAAGGTGTATCAGTGAACTCCTCCATACGGAAATAACTGCGCTCACTGACATTCGCTGATACTTGTTGAATGTGCATGGAAACCAAACAGTGGATATGAGCACAACGAGGCAGAGGGTGGTGCATTTCAGCAGTAGTGATAGCAATAGCAGGTCATTCCATCCGGTGCAATTTTATTATTATTTTTTTTAAACAAGCATGGCATACAGACTCTTGCTCACTGCTATTGAAAATACATAGCTAATAGTGGTGACTATACTGAAAAATAGTATTCTGTAGCTGAGAATTAGCTCTATCAAATAGTGTTATTGTGCTTTTTGTATCTGTTGTAGTCTCTGTGGAAATTAAAATGAGGTATTACTTTTGGAATGACCTACATATACTTACAGGAATAAATAAGTGCTGGGAAGAGAGTTTCATTTCTCTCCTGGGCTGTTTCAACTAGCATACGAAGAGGACCTTTAGGACATAAGACAGCAACCAAATCTGGAAGGAAGAGTAAACACATCTAACATCAACACAGACATACTTTTAGGAAGTATTTTTATTTTAACTGTAACAATTACAGAGACTGGTAAGAAGGTAAAATGCCACCATGAACACAGGCTTCTGAGAGAAGTAGCAACCAGTCACAGGTCAGCACCTCACCAAAAGTTAATGTTTTGCCTTGAACTGTAACTTAGAAAGACATATGTCACTGCAGCCCTCCAGTTATTTTTCAGACCCCTATTTCATTTTTCTTTTCATCTGCTTCTCCCTTCCTAGCTGCATGGCAATGTGTTACAAATGTAAGAACGTGCTCCTCGTCTCTTGTCTCGCACACGTGTAATGCATGGAGACCAGTCAGACAATCATCATATAAAATTTAGAGTGGTAAATAAATTTAATTGATCCTGTTCACGTCCTCTAGGCATGTTGACTATTTCTTAAGTAGCTGATCTTTCCCCTAAGTAGTAAGTAGTTTTGTGGCTAACTGAAACCTAGAAGCAGTACTAGACATTTAGTTTGATGTTGCATCACCTGCAATTCCCCATGAGCTTGGATAGATTAAACAAGCCTGAGGATTTTTTTTTTTTTTTTCCCCAAAGCTGTAACTTTAGCAGACCACAAAACAGTGAACTAATGTTCTTAGGACAAATTTAAAAACACCTTACGGTGGAACTTCACTGCTCCTCCAGGAAGTTTACAGATGAAAAGTCATTGAAAGAAAATAGCAAGTATTTTAGTTTCTAAGAACATAACATTTTACAATATTGGCTTCAGAAATCTTAAGTAACACTCAAAACTATTACTTTTATGCTGCTTATTTTTTGATTAACAAGAACTTTCTCTGCAAAAGTTAAGATAGTTTACCAGCTTTAAGAAAGCATACAACAGCCATTCCCACAATTTCATCACTTTAATCAGAGGTTTAGAAAAAACTGACACTAAGGGTATCAAACCAGTTTATTAATATTCTCAGTTGTAAAACCTATTTTACATATGATTGGAATATGTGAATTAATTATAAAATACATTTCTCATTTAACATGTCATGCAACTGCAAACGCTACTGTGTATCTACGCTGCTTTGCAAGTTGAAAGCAAATAATTCTCAAAAACTGTGGTTCAAGTTAACACCTCTGAAATACCCAGATTTGCTTTCTATTACTGAAGTTCTTTCTTAACCCCAGTTTAACGCTAAAAGAAATTTTAAGACAACAGATAAATATATATTTTTTATGGATTAGAAGTGATAGCTCATTTATTTTCACTTAAAGAAGAAAAGAAGTGCAAGCGTGAAAAAGAAAAAACAGGATTACAAAGCTCTGCAGAAAGAAAAAGCTGTGAGGTATTCAAAGGACATGTTGTGAGGAAAAAATACAACTTTTTTCCAGTGTCCAGTGCCCTCTAAAGATTTGTGAAAAAACTACATTAAAGTATCACTATTTCCAGTCTCCATTCTGAAAAAGCTTAATGTTCAATAATTCTAATTAATTTTCTTTTTACTTTTAAATCTAGAAAACTGTAAAATACACTCTTCTCTAAGTAAAAGGACTTTGAGCAATGCTTGAATCCTTCTTTCATTATTTTATTAGATATGGATCACAGTATGGTTCCTACGTCTGTAAACATGAATAATTTGTAGGCTGGGCAGATCTACACCCACGTAGGACTATTCCCAAACTAGAAACTCCTTAACTTTGAATATACAATCATTTCCAAGGATTCTGTGTAAAATGGGAAACAGAAAACCTCTCCACTTTCATAGAAAAGAACAATGTGACAATACAGTTCTCTTATCTACTCCTTTCTTGAATTACTTACATTCTAAACTTTCTTCCTCTCCAAAGAATGTATGAAGTTCAGAAGACATGAAGGAAGATGGCATCACAGTGCCACAAAGCCATTAGCTGCAGGGGACTTATCTTGGTTTAGATAATGACTTTATTTCTGTAGTCTGTAATCACCTTACCTATTAGTCTGGATGATCCCCCTCCCCCCAGTTCTTTTTTTAAGGCCTAGTCAGACAAGTGGAAAATGATAAATTAGGAAATAGAAGAAATTCCCGCCATAGCTTCTGTTACAATGGCTTGCCCCAGTTCTTACCGTACACTGAAATGACAGCCAAGATAAGCCATGCAGTCCATTCGGGAAGATACTTAATGAACACCAGTGCCATGAGAGCGCTTATCATAATGAGATATGCCTGCTGAAGCCGAAGTGGGCCCTTCCAGTGAATACAAATCATTCCCACAACACCAAAGTTCCAGATTATGAGTGCCACCGTAATGTAGTCCATGGCAACGTTATACGTCTTAAAAACCTCACTAAAAAGATAAAGAAAAGGAAGGAAAAAACCTATAGACTGCATTTGCTTAAAACAATGGAAATAAGTCTTCGTTTTTTTTGGTTTTTTTTTTCCTTTTTTTTTTTTTTAAAACACCTTCCTACTCAATGTAATAACACAAATGTCAAATAGTATCTCCAATTAGTACTTAATTAGAAACTACTCTTCACAAAGGGGACAGTTTTACCGGTGTTTACTCAATTTAAATTTTTTCACCCTTCCACAAATTTTCATCTGCATTCACTTTTCAGTCAAACCAGAAATGGACAGGAGAGGACATTACTAAATAAACAGTCATGCTCGTGATTTTCTAAAAATAGGGATTTGTGAGGTTATAATCAATCTCTAAAGGCACACAAAACAAATCTGTCCTTACTTACCTGTCTCCTACTTACAAAGCCATTACACAAAGAGCTACTCTTCAGTCATATGCTTATGAGAAATCAAATAACCATAAATTATAACAGTATAAGCTAATCTGAGGAATATACCTTACTTAGGTAATCAGTATGACAACAGCAGTATATTTTAAGATGCAGTAAAATCCATAAATCTCTCAATGAAGCTGTATATTAAAACTGAAAATTTTACTTCACTAGCAATAGCTAATTTGGTGTCATTCTTGTCAAGATTCAGGGGCTAGTTTGAAAATACTACATGAAAAATAATACATCACAATGCTTTTGTTCACTTACCCCAGATAGATGAATGAAAAAAAGAAAAGCAGCAAAAGAGAAGAAATGATAAGCCAACCGTGGATCACCTGGAAAAATAATTTTTTTTTAGGTTGGGTATTTTTAAGTTAATGGCTACTTAAAAATTCTTTTAATGCTACTTTCCCATTTGATTAAAGCAGGAAAATAATATTCATCTCTCTCTTTGATTTTACATTTATCCCATATACAAAACTGAGTCTCAATTTACATTTGTTAATTTTAAGCATTTTGTGATGTTTTAGCAGAGGTTCTATACAATGCAAACTACTTCCTGTATATGTTAAGGTTACTTCGATAACAACAGCATTGTAACAGAGCAGAAACATCCAACACTAACAAAGATAGGAAAAAATGATTAATTTTTGCACTATTAAAAACCTTGCCCTCACTCTGAGACATTTTCAGAATTCAGCTACAGAATTAAATGCTAAAACACGGAAAACCTTCAGTGTTTATCTGCCAGAATTGTAATTTCATTGATGATGACTATATTAGGATTTTTATATTCTATACCACTTATCCGTACACATAACCTCTCAATAAGATATGGCAGCAGATACACAAAACCAACAATTAAAAAAACCAATAACAGTTCTGTTTTGTACTGGAGGAAAAGCACACAGAGTTGAACTTGCAAATAATATCAGCTCAGACTTCTGCACTGAAAAAAGAGTGCAACAGTCTTGTATATTATTGTGCGACTTAAAAATGAAGATCAATGAGCCCAAAGGGACACAGAACACGAAAGCTGAAGACTGACAGATACCTGAAACAGAATCCAGCTTTCTAACTATTTGTAAGGTTACCTATGTATATAACTAGTCATCTGACAGCAACTTTACATCTCCATAAAATTAGTTGAAAACATTTGGGGAAAAAAGAGTAAAACTAGCTGAGACATTTCTTTTATTAATTTGATCTCTATCTGAAGTTCTTCAATACAAGCTCTTAAATTATCTCACCACCTAAGAAAACACTGTAATAGGAACATTTCATTCCAGTAGTGTAAAATGCTAAAAATATCAAACCCCAAGGCCACAGTTCAGCAAACATTTATACACTTTTGTATAACTACCATCAATGGTACTAAGGAAGACAGCCATCACAGTTGATTTAGGTCAGCATTTTAAGTACAGGTGTTTGTTTCATTCTTAGTTTGCACCACATTTGTGCACACACATTTTCTAAATCATAAGAAAATTCACTTGTATGAAAAGAGGATGAAGTATTTCCTAAGACATGTTTCAGCTACCGCTTTGCTAACAGCATATCACAACAGTTTTATGTATTTTAAAGAATTTTCATTCTTCATTTGACGATGGCTCCAACACTGGTGGTTGTTGGTACAGAGCCAACTGCCTGCTAAAAAATGAAGAAAATTAAGGATTGATAAATGTGGAGAATTCCAACAGCCAGATAATAGTTAGGCAGACCAGTGTAGAATGTAGATAATAAAAATGGGCTAAAAATTAAAGCTAATCAAATACAAACACTGAAGAAGGTATTTTTTGCTTGTTAGATTTAGGAACTCTAACTGGGATCATGCTTAACTTTTCATGTAGAAGAGAAACACAGGGATGCAAACAGCAATAAAGCCCCTTTCTTCAAAGGAGTTTTCAGATGAAGTCTTGAAGATAAGCAAATTATCACTACCAGTTGGAGGCCTAACATTCTTTCATTACAAGTTAAATTCCTTATAATATACAATACATTCTATATACAGAACTGCAGGTAAATTAATTGCACAGATAACTCAATTTTACAGCCTTCTCATATAGCAGCACAGAAATACTGTTAACAATAAAAATATAACGACTTAAACAAATGTAATGGACTATTTTAATTAGTATAAAATACAAACACACAAAACTTCTGTTGTCTAATCTGTCTAATTTTTAAGTACAATAGTACACTTTGTAATGAGAATGTCCAGTGCTTTGTAAGGTCAAGAAGGAAGTGAAGTGTGAAAAGCTTAGTAAAAACAAACTGGACAAATCAGCAGCAGAGAAATGAGGGGCAGTTAAGGAACCTACCTGAAGCACATTAGTTATTGCACTCCCTCAGAATAATCAAAAGTGACCTTTCATAAAGAAAACTTGGTCAATTCAGAGTTAACACCACACTGTGATAAGAGAGGTAGTCCATACCTTAAAAAAGACTACCCCAAATCACTGCCAGAGGCATTCCTCACACGCTTTGTAAAGGGGTTTCACCTATAGCCATGAAGATCACAAACCTTTTCCCCTTGAAAGCAAAATAAATAGAAGCAAAGTTGTGCGCCAGTGCAAACATCCCATAGCCGGTTTTACAATTCTTAAACAGACTAATTGCATACTGGGAAATTCTATGATGTCAAGTTTTCCCAAATGGGTCATTAGACCAAAAGACAATCACAAATTTTCATGAACACCTCTCAGGCAGGTGACATTGCAGCCATTTATGCTAAGCCTGTACTTGCCAAATCACATCATTATTTGATTGAAGTGTTTCACAGAAGAGCCTCTGAGTCTTTGCATTTGCTATAAGGATATATCACCTGACATGTACAGCCATGCACACTTGAGAGCCTCTTGCGAGGCTTAAATACCGAGGGCAAGGTGGGATGGAGGAGATCCCTTAAAGAGTCCCAGAATTCTTCAACAGCTTCCAAGCTGCAGGACCAGGTCTGTACTTTGTAGTTCTTAAGCACAGGAAGATTTCAGTACATTTAATGGGAATAAGAAACAATTCCCAACCTAATTCTAGCTGATAAAACAACCCAGCAGTGCTAATATTGGGTGGCTGTCTCCTCATTCTGTAAAAGAAAAAGAAGCCACAAAATTTTGAAACACTGAAATTCACTGCTTCTACTTATCCTCACTCACCCTTGATAACCTTTCATTTTTTTTCATCCTTGATAATCTGCACTAATAAAAGCAACACATTTACTCAAGTCAGTTATGCTCACCTTGTAGCACCTATATTTGTAAAGCACAACCAGGAGTATGGTCATGACAATGATGACACTGATCATGATTGCAGCGTTGAGAATTGAATTCAGGGCCCTCTGTCCAATGGTATCTGTCTCTTCTGTGAAGGGAGTGTAGATACTACAACAACAAAGAGTCAACTGAAATACCACTGTATAGTCCACAGATGATTCTGATACACAACGCCAATGTGAAATGAAATTGCAGTAATCTTTCAATTCAAAGCTGTACAAATACTTTCTACTCAGCCAAAATTTGAAAGGCAATGTAGTATACTCTTCCTTAGAAGACTTGCCTTTCTTATTTTCTTAGACTACTACTACAAAGCTTTTCAACTTTGTAAAAACAAACAACAAAAAAAGCGGAAATCCATGTTGCTTAATGAAATTACTCACAGGCTATGAATCATTACTATTAGTGCAGCTAGACCTTTATAAGCACACCATCTAGTGGATTTACAATGAAGTATCTCCCAATGACTCCAACAAAAGTGCGTGAGCACTCAGCTCTTACAGAAACGAGCTGGGGAGAAAAAAACACTTAATTACTTGACAGGAAAAAATAAATAAATACTTACCATAACTAAAATCACAAGAAAAACAATTTTGATCAACAACTTTCTCTCAACAAAAGACAAAATTCTTTTTCACTACCATTTTATGACATTCTTGTATAAACATTTCAAAGCCAAATGAACTCTGAATAATTTTGTCTAAATATTTTTACAGAGAAACATTAAGATTGATTTGCTGCAGGTTCTGACAGGCTCAGTGCTCTTCTTTTGCCTCCTTTCTCTTAAACCATCTTTCAGTGAAAGTATTATTTTTTTGGTAATATTAGTATTTTGACAAAAATATTATTATACACAGGAAACCTTCCATGAAAGTTTCCAGAACTGCAACAGAAGTGAACCTCAGAATTTATCTTCCTCTTACATTTGAATTTCTTTCTCAAACATTACAGACATACCAGTATTTGGCATATAAGACACTTCACTTAACTGAGTACTGGTTTTCCTCCTTCCCAAATGCTTTGTATTCTAGCAGAGTATGGCTGAAATGGCTTTGGCTAGGGATTGAGTTTATTTTATGAATAGAGCACAGTTTTAAAATAGGGACCAAGATTTGAATCAAATAGTAAGAAGCAAGATATCATCCTGAGTGATCACCAGCCAACAAATGTTAATCTATGATGGAGAGTTTGGTTTCTAGAAGAAATAAAGTAAAAATATCTTTGGGCTGGTGAACAGGAAAATGGAGACAAGAGGAAGCACACTGTTGCAATTACAGTCCTGAAGAAATGGAAATTAAAGAAAGTTATCTGAGAGGGCCCACTGAAAAGACAGAATAAACTGATACATACAGCTGTCCATCCTTGCGTGTATAAAAGCTGACAGACTTGATGGTTGCAACAACGACCACCATGCAAAGTGTGACAGGTACAAACAACATAATCACATGTTTTGCCCCATATTTCAGTGTCAGCTCCTCATCTTCTTCTTCATCCTGATCCACCACTTGCTGAATGTTGTTCTGTGGCTGCCCATTGGTCTCAGACCCAGGATTGTCATTTCTTCGGCGCTCACTATTATCATGGCGTCGTCTTTCACTGTTATCATTCTACAACATATAAAGCACAGTTTTATCAGAAACCATCCATAATCACATTTCCATATGTTAAGCTAAAGATGAAGAATGCCTAAGGTGACATTTGCTGTCAAAAACAAGGCGTAAACCAGAGTAATTAACTGTTTCACATTTATACTAAAAAACAACAGCAGCTGATAGTAATTCAGGCTGCATCTAATAGCCTATAACGTCTTTTCTTCAAATTGAAGGAAACGCTAAACAAAATAGAGCTTTTTCCTTTTGACCAAACTACAGCTGATACAAAGTTGCGTGACTGCAGATTATAGCTGACAACAATTCATTATATCTGCTTTCAGAAACAATGCCAGAGACATTTATTATTCCATGAAACTCCCAAGAAAATTTCTACTTTCCTTGTCACGTAGCTCTCACTACCGTACACCAACTACAACGTATTCAAACGAGTTTTGCAAGGTATTGTGTTCATGCATTCTTAGCAAGAACAACACAGAAACAGTGATTGAACTCAGATAATTCTTACTCTTTATACTGAGATTTGATCAGAAAGTTTTAGCACAATGAGTTAAGTGAGCAGATTCTTCTTCTCCTTTCCCAAGGATACTACTCACAAATCCCTTTGCTTGCATTGAAGAAATTCCACCACCCTTGTGTCAACAAATACAAAAGAGCCTCCAAGCCTTCCTGATTATGCTATGATTCACACGCAAGGAGAGAGACTTTCCACATCACCCTTGGAGGAATTAAGATCAACTAAAAGCAAAAATTCAGGAACTCAACTTGTAAAGAATTTTGAGTTAAAATACTGTCTATAAGTAAATGATCAAGCCTCTATTCTTTAACAAGGACACATTTAGAATTTTATGTTGCGTGCACACAGAGAACACAGTAGAAGAGAGAGCTACATTTCACCTGTTCCGGACTACAGAGAATCTTTTAATGTTTACCAGTCAACCTAAACAAAGCCCTAAAATGCAACAGTTTGTACATGTTAGCCTTTTTTTCCACCTCATCTGTTATCATCTGTAGTTGATGCTGTACTGTTCCAATTTCTGCCTCTTAAGAGGCTTCACATAAATAAGATGTAATATGAAGACTTGGTTCCTCAAAAAACAAATCTTAAAACTTCAGAATTACTTCCTTTACAAACAATTCAGTGTCAGCAAGTGCACTAGAGATACTTAGTATCAAAAAAGTACAACAAACTAAAGAGAGATACATTTTGCAATGCCTTAAAAATAGAACTAAGTAAAACTGGTCTAGACATAGGATAGGGCACTGAATATAACCTAATGTATAACAGTTCTTAAATAGAAATACAAGGAATTTTTTTCCTCAAACACACAATGTTTAAATTTCATTACTACTTCTTAACAGCATTCACTGAAGCCTTTTTGATAAAGTAACAGCTATCCTGGAGATTCTTTATACAGAACTGTCTCAGTTTCACTCTTGTAAATGATGTTAAACATGTGGTCAGGAACTGATAGTGTGGTTTTCAAAACCACTTCAGTGATTAAGGAGTACAAGTCCCTGGACTTTGAATTGCAAACACTGACAAAGCAAAAGTCCTGGTTGAAGCTTTACAGCTTCCTTAACTCAAGAAAAAGTTACTTTCACAAAACTTTACACAGTAGGAGTACATACCAAATGCCTGCCTTTTTCTTTTCTTTTCTTTCTTTTTTTTTTTTTTTTTTTTTTTTGAGGAAACTGAATATAAGAAAACAAAACAACTAAAATTGTCTGAATTAAGCAAGTAAAATTAGTGGGCAACCAGATTTTTTTAAACTCAGATTTTAGCCTTAAATTGAATTTCATATCATTAACTTAATGCATACCTTAAAAAAGATTGCAGATTCAAGATTATTTCTTACTAAATTGAAAGATTCATTATAAAGAACTTGATATTTTTTGTGAGGTCCTTATGTACAGTTAGTACAGCTAGAAACAGGAATAGTTGAGAACGCAAGGAAATGTAATGTTTAACCATTCTGAAGCTTCTACTGTTCAGCAGACTGCCTGCATCTGAGCCTCCTTCTCTACTGATCATAGCTCGAATGTAACATTTTTCACTTTCATTGTGAAAATGCTTCATTTCCCTCAGTCTACAACATGAAAACAATAAGTTTACCAATCTAAATAAACTGCCTAAGATGTAACTCTATACTGGAGAGGATCAGAGATTTTGAACACTTCACAAGTAAAGCAGAATTAGTATTTAGGTTTCTGCATACCTGTAGAATATGTTGCTCTTTCTCTGTGGTAACAGCAGCTCTGCATGAGGCAGTACCTAGCGCTGTCTTAGGCAAACACAGAAACTAAAATAAAAATCTACAATTTGCAATGCAAACTCAAAAACCGCCAAAAGGAAAACCTGATCAATTACACATTACTACACCACTACATCAGAATTTAACTCAAAGGAAAACTGAAGAAATTCCCTTCCCTTTACTAGTAAGGAACAAATACGCAATCACAAAATGTCTTTACACATTAAAATATAGTTCATAAAAATCTGAACAGCATTAGAACAGATACTGTAAGTTATTATTTGAACTAATGTCTCACTCAAACTAGAGAAAAGTTGTACTTTCTGTCTACTGAACTAAAAGCTACTAAACGTGACATGCATGTGCCCCTCTGCTTAAAAGAACAAAGTGCACTCATATCCTACCTGATCGGTATTAAACAGAGCAGAGGCCATGGACTCCTGCTGAAGTGCGAGCAAAGGAACAGACTCTTCACTTTCCTCAGACATAGTTAAAAGTGAAAATTCTGAAGCTAAAAAGTCAGTAACACCTGTTGTAATACCGTAAGCAAACGTAAGTTATGAACTACGCGCTTTCAGGCGAATAAACAACATCAAAAGCAAATGATCGGCTTTCTTTCCTATCAGGAAAATAGTTAATAGCAAACCCAGATCAATGCCCCTGAACCAACAGGTAGAAAGCTAGCATATTTGATAAAATATTTTTATTTCTTGAATCTAAATTTATAGGTTGGTAGCAGGTCCTCTTGTCTGCCAGTAGGCAGAGACTTCTTCGTTAGTTCTCACATTCACTGTTTATGTTTAAAGGTGTTACACAGCGACAGATGCTGAAGCCTGGACTGAACTCCTAGTGTGTAACTAAAAGGGGATGGCAGAAGCTAACTTGGAGGCTTTTCATACTGACTGTTAGCCAATAGAAGGTAGGGATACTTAGGGAAGAAATAATTTCTGCACTCATATACAAAAACAGTGCAGATTGATGTAGGGGAAAAAAATCACTACACCTAAGTATTGAAGCTACACCTTCAGTTACACTTAATAAATATTGTTTAAAAAAAAAAGCAAAAGCAATACCTATTGATTGGTATAGTCTGGCAGTGAGAAGTAAATAAAAATATCTGTCCCCATTGCTGGGAAGGACCAAGAAGCATTCTACAAGGACAGCAAGCCCAGAGCTAATGACAGAGCTCTGCCTTTTCACTGTGCCAGAAATGCTCAAGAAAGGTTAATCTCCCACCTGTCAAAGATGAAAATAATTTTTTTCCTTCTCTCTGAAGTACAAGCACAACCTATGCAACAGGACAGTTTCCACTTCCCTATTTTTAGTAACAGTTTCTACAATCAGCAACGTCTTAAGTCATTGTGACTTCTTAATTTCTTAATTTCAACACGAATTTTCAAAGGTTCTACATGTTCATAGCACAATGTTGCTCTGAGAAATAAATACAACCATTTTTGATATTTCTACTTAATGTGTTGGATTGCACAGAGAAATAAGAACAAGGATCAAAATACAGTCGTCTCAAATCACTGCCATAAGCATGGGTAGGAGTGACTTAATTGCAGAGCATTTCTTTATCATGAGGAAAACAGATACTCAGCAGGAACAAAGAACTGAGTGTGACAAATCCCAGAGCCTGAAAACCACACCCAAGTAGATCATCAAGATTTGGTTTTACCATACAATAGTTTTGGTAATAATTGCACAATTACATCTTTCAAAGAAATGATTTAAAAGTTAAAGGTTTGAGGTTTTACCCAACCCTCAAGAACTCCTAAAATGCCCTGACAGTTATTCAAAATTAAACCAATACAGCGCTGTTCCTTCTGCACAGGAGTACTGCGTAGTGAGCAGTTCTGAGTAGTAGGAAAAAATCCAGGTCTGAAAAAATTATTATAACTATTAACTATTATGACTGACACCTCAGAATTGAGCAGATCAGATCCAGAGTTCAAGTCATCTCACCACCTGGAAGTCAAAGTTTGCTATGAGAACATCCCATCTCATTTTTTTTTTTTTTAATTTTTCTAGAGGGTCTGGTCACTCCAGAATCACTTAAACTTGGAGAAGACTATATGTGTATAAAAATGAGTTCAGGACGTCAGAAACTTCACAGAATGTTTCTTTCAGCACTGCTGATCACAACAGTCAGATGGAGAAAATAACTCCCAATGAATAGATTTCCACAGTTCTGAATCGTGTGTTCATCCACACTGATTAATCTTCCTAATGTAATTGCTACCAGGTGATAAAATTGTTTGTTACATACGGTGTTGCTGAGGTGGTTGTCAGGGAAGTTTTCTGTCAGCTGCCCATGCTGGAACTGGGGTAAATGTGCAGACAGTTCTGTCATTGAGGCTGTTCTCTGGGAACCACTTATTTCCACGCAAAATGGATCTTGATGCTGAAAGGAAAAAGATGTGTGAGAAACCTTTTTTCTTTTATCACCAAATTCACCATCCTCTCCCCAGCCCAATTCTTAGAGCTCACACTCTCACACACAGACCGCAGATAACCATTTTCTCTCTTCACAGCAATACCGAACTGTAGCACATCTTTTCACACTGGTCATAACAGGGATTTTCCAGAACAAAAATAAGAGTATCTGGGTGTTATCAAATTAGTTCATCAACCACGGAAGTAAGTCAGCCACAAACTAAATATTCAAACAGTTCTCCATTCTGTCTTGTGCAATAAATGAGAAATACTGTATACTTGCTCAAAGAGTTATTTGCATGTTTTCATCTCAGACTACAACTGATCCCATTTCTTCATTTTTGGATTACTACTAAGCTCAATCATCAGTAAACTTCAAGCAAGGATGATCCAATTTAAATCAATCATTTAAAATCTGGATGTGACATATTTCCTACTGTAATATTTAAAAAGCAACCAAGAGCCACACAAAACAGTATTTCAGCTGAGCCTCAAGAACTCGCTTGCATAACCCTAGTGGTAGGTTTGAAGTATGAGCTAAGTGTACCTGAAAGTTTCCTATGCTTTTAAAACTTAGTATATCCTTACATTAAAAAAAAAAACAACTGCATGCTAATATTATAATAAGAAAACATGAATAAACTAAAATTAGCTCCATAACAAAAGAAAATAAGCAAATATAGTAACGAAAATGGTAGAAGAATGATTTCAGAAGAAACACAATTTTAAGATACAGCAGGTAGGTTTGGATAAGCCACAGGTTTGGTTGCAAAAAACAGCGGACAGAATTAACAGCCACTGTTGCTAACAGTGAAATGCCAGTTCCTGCTTTCACTGCAAGCAACTCTTGCTCTCCAGTCTTTTTCCAGTATGTTTAACTCACTGCGGGAAAAAAAAAAGGAAAGAAAACTACAGTATTTTTCTGCCATTACAGTACATTTACAGCCAGCGTTTGGAGGAATTTAGAAAAATTTATAGACAGATGACATCTGGGAGCTGCACAAAGCAAGGCCTCTCACTTTTGGCAGCAGCAAGCCACAAGACAGCTCTTTACTTAAACGTACATTCAGTTTAGTTTCATATCTGCAAAGATGCAGAAGGTGTTTCTCCACATACAAAATAAATCAGCACCTCATAAGACCAGTTCACAATGGTTACTGATTTCTGCAAGGATGCAGCTTACATGGAAGGACCATTAGAATGCAACATCAAATTGGCAGTCTAGTGAGAACATCAAGCCATTTGAAAAGCCAATACAGCATCCACCAGGAGAATGGTTCTATTCTGTGCTTGTAATTAAAAGTAAAGCATGGCTTGCTTAAAAAGCATGAATGTAAGATGAAAATAAATAGTTGCATTGCTTTTACTTTTAAAGTCTTTGCTCTAATTCTTCAGTGAGACTACAGAATACACACAATGCTGTTGTAAACCCTCAGTGCCACTACAAATGCTCGTGCTTTCATCTCCAAACGTGGATTATCGGAGCGAGGCTTTTACACAGCATCATGTCAAACTCCTAAACTAGGTAAAATAATTTAAAAAAAAAAAAAAAAAGGGAAAAAAACAGCCCACCACCCTCACAGAGTCCTACATAAAGGCCAGTACAGACAGAAACCACCTCAAATCCACCAAACATGGATCCAACTACTAAGGGGCAGAGAAAAAGCGAGGGCAGGAGGGGGTGGTGTCAGAAGTGATAGCAGAGAGCGAATGGCACTAAGAAGCCCCAGAAGCCATGCTTTGTTAGAGAAATTCCTTTTTAAAATTCAGGAACCCTGAAAACATCTTCAGGACATAGAGACAATTTTATTCTTCTAAATGAACACTCCAAAGTTTGAAACTTAACTGCAAATGAATGAAATCTAGAAATAAATTGGGTGCAAGCAGAAGCAAATTTCACTTTTACCTGTTTAACCTGAAAAGGACTTAGCAAAACTTAGTTTTCTAAATAAACTGTTAATAAACACCTGTCTTAAAAACAAATCTTGCTCGTTCCTTTTGCCTCTCCTACAACGTAGCTTCTGCGTATTATCTGCAGCCATCTAATAATGGGCCGCAACGTGCAGGGAGGCTTCAGAGCCTCTTCTCGAGCCCGAAGCGAACGAGGAGCCAACACGGCGCGGTGGGGCCGTTAACCCGCACGGCGCCTCGCACAGCAACAGGTGGCCGCAGCCCTCCCGGACCGACGCCGCAGCGCTCCGGCCGAGCGCCGCCGGCCCGGCCCCACCGCGCAGCCGAGCCGAGAAAGCGGCGCTCCCGGAGCCCGGTCGCGCCCCAGCGGGCGCAGCCCACCCACGCCCGCCCCGCCCGGGGAGCGGCCCGGGACCCCGCCCCAGCTGTATGGCGCAGGGCGCTCACGAACGCCGGCGCCCCGTCCGGTCCGCGGCGGCCCCACGCCGACCTCCTGGGGGCCCCGCGGGGCGACCCCAGCTCGGCTCCGTGCGCGCGGCGCGCCCGCAGCGCTCCGCTTCCCGCACGCCGGCTGGAGCGGCCCGCGGGGCGATGGGACCCGCCCCCACCCCCCCCCCGGCTCGCCCTCAGAGCGCGGCGCACCTGGCGCTGCCCCAGCCCGGCCCCACACGCGGCCCCCCGCACCGACCTGCCCGGACTCGCTCCGCGGGCTCGGCCACCGGCTCAACACCCGCAACACGGCCTCGCTCGCTTCCGGCTCAGGCCCCGCCTGGGCCGCGACCTCACTTCCGACGGTGGCGGCGGGGCCGCAGCACGGCCTTCGCGTCCCGGCGGCTCGGGACCGGAGGGGACCGGCCGCCTCTCCTCAGCGCTGCGCGAGGCGGGAGGAGGCGGGAACGTCCGCGCGCGGGGGCGCGAGGCGCGGATGCGCGAGGCGCGGAGGCCGGAGTCGTGCTGCTGCGCGCGAGCTTGGTTTCCTCCAGCAGCACAGATGAGCTGCGTTCAGCCGCACGCGGCTCTTCCCTGTCGATACTGACACCGTTTGCCTGGATCTGTGCTGAAGTGCCCCGTAACCACATTTTACCCGCGCTGCACAGGGTGCAAGTTTGACATCCTGTGCTCCTGCCAAAGAAAACGTGCAGAATATTGAAGTGACGCTGGTGGCACAGATTCCAGTTTTAAGCGTAACCAACTCCTGGCATACCACCTACCTAGCACCTCCCTTAATAAAAGCATAAAATCCAATGCTTTTCTAAGAGTACAGTAAGCACTGTAGTGGAAACAGTACCTCAATTACATGATATACTCACATGTTCCAAATAGTTAAAGGGGTTCTCACAAGATGCAGGCACGTTAAGTGGAAAAGCCCAGCTGCACAGCGAAGTCCAAATCAGTGCCATGTACATCCAGCTCTGGTAGGCATACACTGCTACTCCTCCTCTACACACAAGCTGAAATACTTTATTTAGATCATGTAATGTATTATGGCATATGCAGCCATATATGCCCCAACCCTGTAGGGGATCAAGGCCAGGTTGGTTGGGCACTGATGTGAGGGGTGGCAACCCTGCTCACAGCACCAGGTTGGGACTGGGTGGGCTTTAAGGTCCCTGCCAACCTAAACCCTCCTATGATTCTATGACATTGCACCCATTACAGTAATCATTCCTACTTCCTCCCACTACAGATGTAAATCTCAATTACCGGGATAGTTAACATTCCAGTTTAAATTCTAGATCTTCCTCACCCAGATGCTGCCTTCAGTCTCTTTAGGGAGTATACAAGCTTACATCCATTCCATAAATAATGTAATAGACGAATATTCAACTTTAATGTAGGCCAAAAGAAAATATGCTGACATTTCACAACTAGAAGTCTCATTTAAGAATCTCAACAAGGACATGAGGCGATCTGTCTCATGGTAGCATTAAGGGGAATTTGTTATACTTTGCTTGTTTAAATACTACTGATAGAATGCTGTCTTAGCAGAACAAAAAGAGCCCATGAAGTTCACCTCTTCTCTAAACTTACTAGGAACAGGGCAAATTTTGAACTTCTTGAGAATTTGGAGAACTAGGGGAGAAAGGAGTAGATTGAGCACGTAACACAAATTTAAGCACAACATAATGGTAACACCTGAGCATTATACTTCAAGTTAAGAAAAGCACATAATGTATAATATGTGTTCTTTCACATCCCTGTCATAGGGATCACATCTGCATTTGCAGGATTCTAGGGACCTCACAGAAATGAGGTGGAAGTTTAGAAAACCCCAACTCCCTAATTTGTGAACACATGCTGATTCACCGATTCAGAAAGCACAGTTAAAAAAAAACTGCATGCTGCACAAGACTCAGAATGTCAGTCCTCAAATCAAATATATACATTTTTAATATTTGAAATATTTACATGGTGGAACCTTTACACGATCCCATTTGTTAAGAACAGTGTTTTCAAGTCTCCTCTCCAGATACAAAGAACCAGTAACTCAAGGTCACAGTTATGTTTTCTGAACAGGTCAACCTGTATCCTTCAGTTAAATACAATATAGAGATGCTGGAACACCTTTACTTAATTTGTTTGCTATTAAGAATTTCATTTAAAAATTAAGTGTTTTTGAGATAGTTTGCTCCCTGGAACACAGTCCTCCTGCAATCAAAACAGTTCGTAGCACATTATTGATTTGTCTTCTTACCTGGGTATGAGATAAAAAAATGCAGTTTACAGTACATCTCATCATTTATATCACATCAGCCTATTTATAAAAATCCATACAAACAAGGCAGTAAAATACAACCCTCTTTTTGTGGACAATAGACTGCTTACAGTAGAAAACAAAGTCAGGGCTAGTTTTAACAAGGATGGATAAAAACAAGACTTCAGATTTGTTTGAAAACTTACGGTTTAGTTTTTGTCAACTACTACACTCAGTTACAACTCTGAAGCTTCCCAAGCACGTGTGTTTTCTTTCCTCCTTACATTCTAAAAAAAGGATTTAAAAATTACTTCTTAAAAACAACAAAAAAAAATCAATTACTTTATTTTGGAGACAAGGGACTATAGGGAAGTGATAAAAATGAAATTGAGCAAAAGATATGCAAGGTTTAAAAAAGAAATAGCACTTACTGTGGTCCTCTTCTTGTTTTAAGAGAACAAATTAAAAGCCTCCTGCAATTTGCACTTCCTAGGAAAGAAGCAGAGTAATCTGCAAAAAATCAACTTCCAACTTTATTGGTAGCTAAACGGGCAATGATATACCAAGACCAGTACTGGTTCATGTCAGAACCAGAAGTCTGAGGAAACTCCTTTTCCAGAATTATGTAAGGAGACCAGAAAACACACAAAACTGTTCTGTGAAAGCACCTCTAACCACTTAGTTTAAATTAAATTTAAATCTGTAACTGAGAATAGTTCCATATTAAGTGCAAATATTTTGCAAAAGAGGGGCTTTTTTTTTTTTTTTAAATATTTACAAGAATCAAAGTAACATAAGATTACCAGAGAGCGTGTACAGTAGCTGCAGCTTATAAAACATACCGGTAATTGTACCTGGTGAATTATAAAGAGAACCAAATGCAGGATTTCAGATAACTGAGAAGGGTAAAAGGGGCCTCAGAGCAGAGGACAAAAAAAATTCACATTTTCTACATAAAAAAATACAGGTCTCAAGTCTCTGAGAACAGAGAAGATCTGAAGTCCTTGGATGATACGGAAAAAAAAGCAAAAATTGAAATGGAACCCTAGAAGCAAGGAGAGTGCTTTATTTCACTAGACCAATCTTCTTGGCTTCTGTCTCGTATATCAACAACCTCCACATTTTGACTATGAAAACTTCAGCTTCTTCATCTAGTACCTGTAAGAAACACACATTTTATACATTATTTTTTAGGTTAGGGATTCTAGTAATGATGATCAATTCTAGTAGACATATCACAATCTGCAGCCAGAAGAAAGATCACTTAATACCCAATTCCAATGCAGTGGAGGTAATATAATCAAAGTTAACACTCTGAGTGAAGGATTGGATAAACTTCCAGGGGTTTTGCCTGTCCTGCACTTATCATCTGACTTGACCTTTGTTACATTCTTGTATATACTCATTAATTAGGAACAGACTCTCCATAAAACAAATCAGGAAATGTAATTACAAGAGAGTAAACAGAAATTCACATTTCTGGTACAGTTCTACTATTGTCAAGTCTTACCTCTACAGCTAGGGACAGAATCTTTGTTCTACAATTCCAAATACAAAGAGTTTCCCAGCAGAGATCACTATTTTCTACCTAGAGGCTGTAACTAGAATATCGTGTCTGTGTTAGCATAAGCTATTTAGTCAAAACAGCTTTCATATGTACTACATTATGCACATTCTATGAACACCAAATATTTCTGTTACAGACTCCTACTAATTCACACAATTGTCTACTAGCTTCTGTGCAGTACAGAAGGTACATCGGTTAGACAATTTCTACTTACCATGGCAACATCATCCAGTATGCTCTGTGGTGAACTGTGAGCCATAACCTGAAAGAAAGAAATATTTTTGGTCTGAAAACTCAAACTATATGAATGTCTTTAGGGGGAGGAATGGGAGGAGACTGCTACTTTCTAAGAATTTGTAATACTTTGCACAGACAACAGTGTTTCCAATTCATTAGTTTCTAGCATTAGCCAGGGCAAAATTTAAAAGTTCATTAGATTTAATTACAGTGAGTGCAAGTTTATGGCTTGTTACTGAGGAACAAGTTCTAGCAAGCTCCATAGATTCAACACAGTCTCTATTTGCTGGTTATTTGGCACCTTTGGTAAACTCCTCTTCCTTCAGCAGTGAATTCCTGCAGGAAGAGCGAAGCAAAATTTGCTCCATCATTCTAGTGCAGTTTTTCATCTGTCTGGAAGTATTTTAAGGATTTCAATTTTCTAGAATTATAAAGCTGTTCTTCAAAACTAGGAAATGACATTCTTTTAAATATAATTTAAACTTGACAAATATTTTCTATTTTTCACTTTATATTAACCACTCATGCCACAAAACAATCACTCGATTTGCTTCATGCAGCAGCTCTTAAGCATAAAATCCTTAGAGTTGGAAGGGACCACTGAAGGCCACCTCATCCAACCACCCCCCCCCTGCAATGAACAGGGACATGCACAGCTAGATCAGGCTGCACAGGATCTTATCTAGCCTCATCTTTAAAATATCCAGGGGTGGGGGGCATCAACCACATCACTGGGCGGTCTGTTCCACTGCCTTACCACCCTCACTGTAAAAGGCTTTTTTCTTCTATCTAATGTAAATCTAATCTACCCTCTTTGAATTTGAAACCATTTCCCTTTGTCCTGTCACCACAGACCCTGCTAAAGAGTCCAATCCCTCTGTTCCCGTAGCTTCCCTTTAGATACTGAAAGACCGCTATGAGGTCATCTCACAAGCATTCTCTTCTCCAGGCTGAAGAGCTCCAGTTCTCTCAGTCTGTCCTTATAGGAGATGTGTTCCATTCCACAGATCATTTTTGTGGTCCCTTTCTGGATGCACTCCAACAGGTCCACATCTCTCCTCTATGAGGACTCCACATCTGGATGCAGTACTCCAGGCAAGGCCTCACCAGCACAGAGTAAAGGGACAGGATCACCTCCCTTGACCTGCTGGCTATATTTCTTTTGATACAGTCCAGGATATGGTTGGCTTTCCGGGCTGTGAGAGCACACTGCTGACTCGTGTCCAGCTTCCCATCCACCAGTATCCCCAGATCTTTTTCAGCAGGGCTGCGCTCGATCCTTTCATCTCCCCACCTTGTACTGGTAACGGGGGTTGCCTTGACCCAAGAACAAGATCTTGGATTTGGATCTGTTGAATCTCATGAGGTTCACCTGGGCCCAATTCAAAAAGCTCAAAAGCCTATCTAGGTCCCTCTGGTGTGTCCACTATACCACACAGCTTGGTGCAATCAGCAAACTTGCTGAGGGTGCACTCAACCCCCCAGTCAATGTCACCAACGAAGTTATTAAAGAGTATCGGCCCCACCAGTCATCACCAATCTCCATCCAGACATTGAAACATTGACCACCACTCTCTGGACTCGATCCCACAGCCAGCAAAACATAAGCTAAGGCAAGCCCTTATGAATATATCATGAAAGCAGTATTTAATTTGATGGAATAATCTAAGCAGAGTTTAGTTTAAACAAGTGACACATATGACTGAGAGGAATGGGAGAATGTCTTCTAGTGCTAGGTCTAATACCTTAATATTTGTCTACTACCAAAGAAATAACTGTAACTAAAAAAACCTGGAACTATAAAGATTTTTTTAAAGTTAATTTAAA